GCTGCCGGCCAGGGTCAAACCACGACAGTGCAGAATATTAAAATAAATACATCTTTGCTATTTGCAATTAATTACATTAATTGTACCAATACAACTGTTGTCACGTAACTATTATTATTCACATGTGAAAACAGGTAAAACCTGGTTACTTATTTATGACTGGACAATCTTGTTTTGTTCTTGTTGCTGCAGTAAGAGAGAGGAGTATTTGGTTTGTGTACAGGGTCTACTTCTTACAGTCTCATGGTTATATTTATCTTTCTGCAGCTTTGCTCTTGGAAAGTTTGAAGTGTAACCTCTTGTTTATTTTGCATACAGATGTTTTAGGTTGCAGGGATTAGCCGTGTTCTCTTGTATGTTAGAGGAACATCTTAGCTTTTAATAGGAATGGCAGACATGTGGTGTAGGCTTTCTGTTGGGTATACATGTGCTATTTCTGATGGGACAACGTCTGAGCCCCATGCTTAAAACCTTCTTTCAACTACAATTTAACTTTATAGCAATCAAATTATTTATATGCATTTAACTATTACAAACCCCTAGCCATTGATTTCAAATCTGTGTTGGTGAAAGTCCTGTTCACTTCCTTTCTGGGTTCCGAGTCCAACAGCAGGAGTCTTGCTTACAAGGAAGACCTGCTAATGTGCTCTCTTCCCTGTACTGCCTCCACTTATGTACTTGTTGGCTGCTCATGTTCTTACTCTTGTTAAGACTTTAGAATTCCTCTAGACATGAACGTGAGGACGGGTTCTGTATTGCCTTTATTCTTCTCTAAATCTGTACTGGTAGAGTAATGCAAAGCAGAGGCTGGGAAAGTGGGCAAGTTAGCTTCTAATGGAATCCTGAGGTAATTACGGAGAGGGATTATACATTTCTTGTATGTGTAACTGACTCCCATCGTAACTAAGGAACTAGCGCAGAGCTGTGTCGCTGTTCAGTTGGGTTGTTGTTCTGAATGATAAGCAGCTCTTGGGAATCTTCCCTTTACATTGGAGCCACATTTGCTGGCTCCAGATAGAAAGGTTGCAAAGATATCATATTCATGGAAGCATAGAATGGCCTAGGCTGGAAGGGACCTTAGAGATCATTTAATCCAACCTCCCTGTCATGGGCAGAGATGCCACCATATTCTGAAGATGTTACTTAAGCTTAGGCCTTTCTTTTCTTCCTATGCCTGTTCTCTGTTACTTTGTTACTGGCATATAAAAAGCCTGTACACAGATGTGACATTTAAAGAATATGAAATAAAGAACTTAAGAGCTAGGAGACACTGAGATAAAGGTTGTCTGTGCACTGTCAGTTTGCCCATTTTTTTTCTATGTATGGGTTTATGAAATCCCTAAATAAAAGGAGGGTAGCAAACAGGCAGGCTAGTGCTCTGTGCAAAGATGGCAAATGTCATCTAGGTGTCCTAATCCTGTCAGTATTCATTAATTGCCCTTTTAAGTAAGAACTCATGGAGGTACTTTACTCTTTCATGCAGACAAAGTACAGTGCAGGCAAAGCAGATTACCTTGGCTATCTGGAGTAGTTGACAGGTCTCATACAGTAACCCCTGTTTATTTTTTTCTGTTCTGTTTTGGGATTTTGGGGTGTGAGGACAGAGGGTTGGTTGGTTGGGGTGTTTTTGGATTGCTGTAGCTGGTGGTTAGTGGACCAAATTGCCATTCAGCTATTTCATTAGTTTCTTTTTTAGTGGCTCTGTGACAATGTGCTTTGAGAACACGTCACACACTTGCCAGCAAATACTGACTTTCAAGCTGGTCTTTAAAAACAGTCTTTGTGAATCCCTGCAGCTTTGTTGACAAAGGTATTTCTCCTAGCTCATAGAATGGCCTAGGCTAGAAGGGACCTTAGAGATCATTTTAATCCAGCCTCCCTGTCGCCAGGGACGCCACCTCTTGACTAGATCAGGCAACACGTGGGGACCGAACGGGAATCGAACCCACGACCTTGGCGGTGTTAGTGCCACACTCAACTGATTGAGCTAACCGGTGCCCAAATGAGCTGTACCTCCTCTTATTTCCCTCTTGTGACTAGACAGAACATTAATTAGTCCTAACATTTCCCAAAAAACCCACCTGTCAGACAGGTACCCCGCGATACCTGCCACTCCATTATCATACCAACACTACCTTACTGTTCTCTGTAAACAGTGTGGGAGAGACTGTCCTCTTGTCATCAAACATGAAGTCTGTTTAAAATTTTCCTCTGGGTGTCTGTGAATCTGCCTCAACCAGTGTTACTTCACCTCTGTTGAGCATATTTATATTATTAAGATACCTTAAAACTTCATCTCTAATGCCATCTTGTTTCTTTTTTGTCCATAACATTGTGCGTGGAATTGGTGTGGTAGTAGATCCATGGGCAGTGGATCTGATCTGGTTTCATATTTAATTCTTGAAGTGTATATCTTGTTTGGGTGTTCTACTTCCTGCTGTTCCGGCACACTAGACATGTAAAGCCAGAAATATTTGCAAAACATTAATTAATGTGCTCATTTGCTATTTTTAGATGTGGACGCGGCAGCTATTATGGAACCATAGGAGGCTCATATCCATACTTCAGTCCACAACTGAAAGCCAGAGAAAAATCTATTCCTCCTGGAAAGAATTTTTATACTAATCCAGGAAAGAAAGGAACTGGATATGGGTAACTTCACCATATTGCTTCTTGAAGAGTATTTCATTAGATTTATCTTCAGTCTTGCACACCTAAGTAACTAATTTTCTTTTTACAGTTATGCAAACCTTACCATAGGTGAACAATATCCACATGAACCCGATGGGTATAAAGCAAAAAGAAAAAAGGCAAAGGTAAAAATATTTGTCTTTACTATATATTAGTGTTATAGTTATTTATTACAATTTACATGAAATTTCTGTTCCCTGCAATGTTTCCTTTAGCTTGAAATCATTAATGTTTATTTACAAAGTGGAGGAAGGAAAACAAATTAATGACCATCCTATGTAGAAAAGATTTCAGTATTGTCCATTTATTATTTTTCCTTTGAGGCATCTGGCAGTAGCCCACCTAAGTTCTGCCATTCAGGATTTGACCTTTATTTTTTATTTGGAGACCTTAAAGCTACAATAAATAATGACCGAACAATGCCAATAGCAAGAACAATAATACTTCTGTGTTGTTGTCAGAAGAACAGAACTTCATTAGCCTAGATGCTATAGAAACAAACCAACTTGTTCTTGTTTTCATATAAGTTCATAAATCTAAGATAACTCTAAAATTTGCTTGCACTGGTTTAAGTTATCCTGAATATTTTCATCATATGTAGTGAAAAATGGTAGTAGGAGGACATATTTCAGTCTAGGGTAAGAGCAAGATTAGAAGAATTCAGCTACATGTAGTTAAGACAAATCTAGAGTCAAAACTAAGCATCCAGTGCAGAAAATGTGAAGAAGAGAGAAAATAGGGAGGTAGGATTGTTTTCACTGGACAGAAAGAAAGGAATTTGCTCTGAGACATTAGCATGCATTACCAGGTGATACTGCATTACTGACGGTACATTTTGTGCTTTTCTTTTAATTGTTCATAATGTTTTAACTTACTTCATTTTACAATGGAATCTGGGAAGAATAGCCAACATCTCCCATGGTACAAAGAACCAATTCCTAGAGAAGCACAGCTTAGTAAGGGGCTCAGAATCTGGGAAACATCGTGGCCAGAGTTCACAAGTGTGAGCAGCTGGGTTGCACGCAGGCAGAATTTTCAAGCATGTATGTATGCATACATGCCTAGGATGCAGGTATACCATACTGTTACACACATCTTCATAGAATCATAAACTTAGAGAATGTTCGGGGTTGGAAGGGACCTCTAGAGATCATCTAGTCCAACCCACCTGCCAGAGCAGGATCCCCTAGGGCAGCCACACAGGAACGCGTCCAGGTGGGTTTTGAATATCTCCAGAGAAGGAGACTCCACAACCTCTCTGGGCAGCCTGTGCCAGTGCTCTGTCACCCTCATAGTAAAGAAGTTTCTCCTCGTGTTGAGGTGGGACTTCCTATGTTCTAGCTTGCACCCATCATTCCTTGTCCTGTTACTGGGCACCACCGAGAAGAGACTAGCATCTTCCTTTTGACGCCCACTCCTCAGGTATTTGTACACATTAATAAGATGCCCTCTCAGCTGTCTCTTTTCAAGGCTGAACAGCCCCAGTTCTCTCAGTCTCTCTTCACAGGAGAGATGTTCAAGTCCCTTAATCATCCTCATAGCTAAATGTGCTGGGTTGCTCCCTGTCCAGGGGGTCCCTGCCACTCTTGGATTGGGGAGCCCAAAACTGGACACAGTATTCCAGGTGTGGTCTCACCAGGGCAGGGGAGAGGAGGAGTAAAACTTCCCTAGATCTGCTGAACACACTTTTGTTGATGCACCCCAGGATCCCATTGGCCCTCTTGGCCACAAGGGCACATTGCTGTCCCATGGACAACTGACTGTCCACTAGGCCTTTCTCCATGGGGCTGCTTTGCAGCAGGGTGACCCCTAATTTGTACTGGTGCCTGATGTATCTTGAAGGCACAGTGCTTTTCCTGACATTTAAAAATTACATAGCGATTGTTGTGCTTCCTGGTCAGCGAGTCTATGTTCTATTATATATGGTGGGTATATAAAATATTTTGATCATCAAACAAAAGCAGAGAAAGTTAAGAGTGAACATTCTCTAAGACTATATTTAAATGCTTTCCATTTTTCTCTTAGAGTAACATACAATAAAAATCCTAAAGATTGTTTCTTTCAAAGTATTTGTTTTGCAGAAAGCTCGCAAGAAACATAAACAGGTCATGAGGAACATAAACGGGCCTTTTAAGTTAAATCTACATCCTCAGGAGTATTTTGACAGGAATCCCTATTTTAATGACAAACCTTTGCCACCTGTGAAGAACCCACCTCCAAAGATACCAGTTGCACGGCCTTTCATACCAAGTTCTCCTGCTAAAAAGGCAAGTTTGTTCAGAGACAAATGATAAATATTCAGATATTTGCTATTATTAGCTTTGCTTACACGACATGAGATAGAAATAAATGTTTGGGTTTGCTATTAAGGTCTTATTTTTCTTACAAAAGACATTATTCCATTTACTTTGTTTTCAGGTTACAAAGCAATGAAATCTTGTTTGACCTGACAATAATTGCTAACCAGCTTGAAGTAACCTCACAAGTGTTTTTTTAAAATCTGCTTAGTGCTGTGAAAATACAGTTAATTGACTGCACACACCACAAAAAGATAGGTTGCAGAAGGTTAATGCAAGAAAGATAAGATTACTGTAGCAAAATGAAATACTCTTCTATTTTGGACTCTTGACAGTCACTTATATATTTTTTGAACCTGCTAATTACTCTCAGCCTATATAGACAAATGTGTTGTGGAAACAGAGAGCTGGAAGGAGCAGAAAAAACTCATGTTAATCCTTCTGCTCAGAGAAAGGCTACAGAATAAACTCAGAAGATACCTGTCACTTGTCCATCAGATATAAATTTGGAATCAGCTTTAGAATTCATCAACTCTTCAGCAGTTAGGAGAAAAGGAGGAAAAGGATGGGAATAAATATGCATGGAAGATATTAGAGGGCATAAGAAATAAAGCCTAGAGTTAGTATTAAGGCTATATAGAATCATAGGAACATAGTTTATTAGTTCTAGTTGCTTAGTGCCATTATTTCTTAAAATCTAAATGGCTATTTTTTCAATTCCATAAAGCATTCCACCTTCATGTATTTTTTGAGATGAGATACTAAATTTATGCCATTCACCTCAAAGCTAAATCTTAATTTCACTTGGAAATGGGTTTAAGATGCATAAATATCTCTCTCTTAAATGACTGCCAATACCTCTCACAGTAACACCCCTGAATCTGTCACTTTTCATGTCTTCATTTGGGAGTTCCACTGCCAGTCCTTTAATATTGTGCTCTGCTAACCACTATTTTCCTATTATTATACCCTTCACCCTTGACTTGATTGACATTGATTCATCTGAGCAAGATGATGATAGAAAGGAAAATATTAACTATTCGAGAAAGAGACAGCAAAAATGCTTACACACAGAGAATTGTGTTGGGTGTTTCACCTCATAAATGAAGCAGCTGAGATCTTTCAGAATGGAAATCTGTTCAGAGAAGTGAGCTGCTAAGAAGTCAGCACCTCGTCTGGCTGACAGTACTGGTGATCCTGTTCCAGGCTCCTCATCCTTCACACCATATATGCTTTCCCCATATACTTAAATTATTTGCATTTCCCAAGCTACTGCACACTTTCTCTTTCTGTTATATAAATTCTTACTGGAAAAATTGGTTTATTGTCAATCAAATCACTTCTTGCTGCACTTTCAGGAATGCAGCTTCAGCAGACTGGGGGGTTTAACTGTACTAGGGGATTGCAAGGAATTAATCAACTCTCCGCATGTTTTTTAAATTTGCCACTGTTGTAGTACTAGTTAACATAATGTTTCAGGAAAAGCCAATGCTGTATTCAATCCTACATATCAGAAAGCATACTGATAATAAAACTCAAGCTGTGCTGTGTGTAACCATCCCTACACCAGTACTGGACAGGAAGGTGCACTAGAAAACTAATAGTGAAATAGGAATTTCCTTTTCTTTGGCCACATCAGCTCATTTTAGTGAGTTTTCTTTTTCTGTCACATTTTTAAGACCCCTTCCTCAAAATCCAGACTTATGAAAGAACATGTAAAACTAAGAATTCATCAAAATAATGAGTAAAACTTCCCTTAATGTTTCCATCACAGATTTAAGGAGTATATATTCTTGTTTTTTATATAATGTGATGCAGTCTGCTATTCAGTATTCTTACTTGCTTTTTCACGAAAAATATTTTTATAAACTCAATTATGTTGTAGCTTGGCACTCTGAAAAGTTCTTTTGTACTTTTTCAGCCAGGGGGCATGAAAGGAGGCACATTTGATCGTTACCCAAGCCATTCCAATGAACCTTATGAAATTAAAACACCTAAGGCTGTCACGACTAATAAAAACCAACAGGTTTTTTATCCTCCTTCTGGACCAAAAAGCAGACCAACTACAAGCATAATAGATTTAAATGTTAAAAGGTGAGCTCCTTTAATTTGAGTTTCATGTATGCCATCTACCAAAAGTCATTATCACAGCTGTTTATTAATATCTAAAATAATTGAATAAATGGAACAACTTAACAGAAGGATAAGAAATATACAAAGAACTTGGCATTCAAAATTTATTCCTACTGTCTTCTGAAATTCAGGTTACTTTATACGGCTATATGTATCATAGAGACCTTCAAAATCATGGTACACAGATGCCACCGAAAAATTATTATTTTTTATTCCTTTCTGACTTGATAAGGTGAAAAGACCGGGAAGGTTCCTGTTAACTCTAGTCTTGTTTTCGCTTTGTGTTTATAGGATAAGATTGGCTCCCTCTGCTGGCAAGCATAATATTAATTTAAGCCTGTGAAGCTTTTGATACAATGGCACTCCCAACTGGGTCCTTAACTACAAACATGTCACTGTGCAATGTTTAGAACAGACTTATAGTACACAGTGTATGTACTAGTGTTGGCTCTTTTATAATTCAAGCAGAAAAAGAAGACTGTTCTTTAGAGTATTTAGAGAAATGACTTTCAAATACAGACTTCTAAGATTGCATGTAGAGCAGTTAAGCCTATTATTTAGCATACTCCATGAGTAACATGAAGTATTTTAGAAATCTTGATTAAACTTTGAAAAACTATCTTAGCGGAATCTGCTTCACATTTATGATCTGCCTTTTACATATCATATGTGATGTCTAAGGAGTGCACCTCCCTCAGGGGGCCACTTTTTAGGTTGCAGTGTTAGGTTGAAGTTTTTATTTATGTTGACAAGGCAGAAACAGGAGCTACATATTACTCCACATAGCTTCCCATTACTAATGGAAAGCAAAAAAAGAATACAAAGTAACTTTTTGGTACACCAAAGAGCTTGTGGTAATTACCAGTGCTGATGTAAGAAGGTACACCCTTCCATGTATGTACTGGTGTTTTTAAACTAGTAAAAGGGAAGAAGAATGATACATTGGCCTGAGTAGCCTTCTTATCAGTGCAATTGTTTGTATTACTGTTTTAACAACAGAATAAAAATACATGTTCCCAAAAGAAATAGTTTTATTGGAAAAAAACCTAACTGTATGGGAAGTAGGCTTCAAAACTGAAAGGGAGGGGCTGCTGGTGAAGTATCACTGTGCTCACAGATACAGTTATAATGGACTCACTAAAATATTTGTAAAGAGAAAAATTTCACATATCCGACAGAAATTCCACAGAGAGAAATTAAAACTAGTATTTCAAATTCTCCACTATTATTATTTCCCTCCTACGAGTTCTAAAGAATGTGTTTGGGGTTTGGTTTGTTATTCATAGGTTTAATAGAATGAGAATTGTGAACTGAATTTATTGTAAGTATGAAGCTCACAGCTCACAGAGTTTAAGAAATGTGGTAAGATATTTTTCAAATCATCTGCTTCCCCACTGAATTACAGTTCTTTATGTACTTTCCAATGGAAAGCTTATCTCCTGATGTTTGGACCATAATCCAATAATTGGATTTGCTAGTGTAGATTCTTACTGTCATGCAGAGCTCTATTGAAATAAATTTGACTTCACAAGGATTCAAGTAATAAAATCTAACGACAGGACTGAGCATACAATGGTTTTTCACTTTAACAAAAACTTGTAATTTGTACAGTGATATTCTACAAAAACTAATAAGTTTTTCTTCATTTACATTTCAGAGAAATAAATGCAATGAACTACAAGACTGCACAGCTGTCATTGTAGTAGTACAAGAGGTGAAATGAAGGGTACACGTTTTAGACTCTCTAAACTGCTATCAAAACAAATAAAAATGTGAGAAGTGGAATTCAAATATATAGGGCAATCCAATCTGTTTCATTATTGAGAATGCAGTCTTTTGTTTCTGGATATAAAGCTGCAATAAGTAGATTAAGATCTTTTATTTATTAAATCTCTTAAGGCTGTATTTTCATATAAATTTTCAGCTTAGTGCTTAACTGGACTTTTGAAATGTACTTCTAATGAGCAATTTGGGTTACGAATTGACTATATATTGCAATGGAAGAAAGTGTATATATTTTAAGGTGAGTATCAATGTGTGTTTTATCCAAGTTAGTCAGGTGTGGCCTGCAGTCAAACTGAGGTCATCGTTTCCCTTTGGTAGAATTACAACTTGTACTTTATTTCAACTAGAATTTTGTGTAAGAACTGTCTTAAAAATATAGAATTTTTAGTTTTGATGACCTTCTCAAAACGACCAATATCAAGCATCGTTCAAAAACAGACCACAAGCAGGCTGTGAGTCATCTCTATTTATCAGCCTCTACTCTTCCTCAGTTTCCTGAAAACCGTAAGTGCTGCTGTTCACTTGTGAGGTTCTGCCAAGAGCACATTTTGCATACATGGAAGGTTCCTTAACAAATCAGATCAGTCTTTAAAACTAGGTTCTCAGATGGAGCTGTGATCCTAAATGTACACCTTACCTCCATCTTAATAACTTTGTCAGGTTTTTGTATGTGTTCATGTAAATCAAAGGTAATTTATTATAAAAATGAAAAAACCTCTTAGCATTTATTTATCCAAATTATTAGATGACAGAATTTATTTATTCATTTTTATTAAAGATACATTGTATCACTGTGAAATATTCAAGAAATGGTATCTTTGCTGCTGTTCGCAGGATTAATAGGTTTTAAAAGAAATTCCAGACTGGATCTCACATTTCCTAGCATCAGAGCAAATAAAAATAAAACCGAGAATTGTTGGCCAGGTCTTTCAGCATGTATTGAAGCATAAAAGCCCTTACCTTGAAAACAACAGGACCCAACAGTATTTTAAAATATTATACAATGACTTTGATGTTTTCTCTATCCAAAGACCTAGAACAGAATTCTTTCTTGCTTTGCTTATTCCTCGCATTAGACAACAGTACTTGGTGCTGACCTTAGGTACCTTAGTGTCATCTCTGTACAGAGTGTCAGAAGCATTTGCCACGTTGTTCACTTGTGAGGTCTGTAGACACAGCACTCTAGGTAGATTGAACTATGCTGTACTTCCTCCTAACTGCTGTCCTGATGTGGTACAGCTGACGAAGACTGCTCTGAAGTTCTTTATGTCCTTCTGTCTCTCCTCTTTTTGCAATTCCATGGCAATTCTTTCTTCTTTTTACAATGCTATTGCAGTTCTATTTTCTTCTGTGTTTCAATAATCTTTTCATTCACTACCATGATGGAAATACTGAAAGCTAATTAAAATGTATAGAGCTTCATTAAAAAAAAAAATCAATCCAACTTGTTTGAGAAGATGCTAGTGTATGTGGACTAGCTTTGTGTGATGATCAAGGGAGCCAATAACTGCTCCTGATAAGTCTCCACCAAAAATGTGTGGTCTTAATGAGCTGACACCCGATTCTAGTTCGGGCCTCGGTATGCTGCCTTAATACAAATGATAATTGTGTCCCTTTGTTTCTTGGCAGTACCTTTGACTGTGACAGTTGAATTTAGAACTTTCTTAAATTTTGTTAGCCAGTTATCTAAAGTAAGGAGGACATGAGACAATATTTACACTGTTTTCATAATAACAGCTTTCTGTCATCCTTGCAGTACAGATATAGCCAGTCACCTCTGTAACTGATTCTGACCACAATTTAATAGTTACAATCTGAAGCAACCTCATGTTTATGCAAGTGTTAAATGCAATTAAACACCTGACCACCTACTCAATAGCCCAAGTATTTACCATTTTAATGTCCTTATTGACATTGAGTGTGCAATGCAAAATTGTGGTCTAACACTTTTGCCTATCTGCAGTAAAAAAGTGCAACAAAATCTTTTGTATATTTTAAACATTTTTTACAGGAAAAAGCATTGACAACTAGACTTAATGTAGTTTTTAGTCATTCTACTATACGTATCAGTCATGATACAAAGCGTGTTCTATTACATTTATAGTCTTGTATTACAGAGTTAATTTGCTGCAATCTGTCTTTATGAATTATTGGAGAAATACGAAGAAATGGATTACTGTTATGTCTCTGAAGAGATCATGGTCTTTATTGGCCACGAGCTTGTACACCTAGTGTTGTACAAATAGGAAAGTGAAGATTAAAAATTACCTCAAAGTCTGTTCTGGATCACCAGTAATTAATTCATTAAATGGGTTTACTTTCATGATTTTTTTTATTTTACTAAGGAGCGAGTAAAAAAAGAAAATAGTCCTAATAGTGTTGTAATAGTGTTGTAAAGACACTGCATACAGGCAGCTTCAACTTCACAGAATATTATATGCGGTATTTTTGAGAAATACATTCTCCCCACAATATCTTGGCTGAGAAAATCAGAGTAGTTGTGCAGTGATTATACTCAGGAGGATAATTTTTCTGCCTTTTATAGCTATGATGATGTTCTCTATATTTACCCTGAAAATGTTAAAAATCATGTTTTAAATAACAAGCTTTCTAAGTTAGTATCTAGTATAAAGAGATAAAGGGTACCTTGTGTTAAACATAGACCATAGACCAGAATTGAGTATTATCTAAAATATACATAAACATAGCTTAAATATAATTTAGGACTTGCAGAAATAACCAGTGAAATGTTATGGCGTGTGCTTAAGCCGATGAGCTAAAAGGTCGTTAAGATTCCCTTCTGTCTCTGAAATCCTGGGGATAGAATCCTCTCTCCTGTAAACAGTCACAGTTTCATTAATTTTCTTTACACTACTGTATTGGGTTTGTGCAGTGGGGTTTTGGTGTCAGGGAAGGGGCTACAGTGGTGGCTCCTGTGAGAAGCTGCCAGAAGCTTCCCTGGCTCCGAAAAGAAACTGCGGGAAAATCTGCAGTGGGGAGAGAAGGGCGGTGTGAGAGAAACAACTCTGCCCACATTAAGGTCAGCGAAGAAGGAGGGGTGAGATGGCAGGGCTGTCCCTGCAGCCCATGGAGGTTAACGGTGGAGCAGATGCCCATCGGCAGCCCGTGGAGGACCCTACACTGGAGCAGGGGGCTGTGCCTGAACAAGGCTGTGACTCCCGTGGGACACTCACACTGGAGCAGTCTGTTCCTGAAGGACTGCACCCTGCAGAAGGAACCCGCGCTGGAGCAGTTCGTACAGGACTGCAGACCATGGCAAGGACTCGTGATGGAGAAGTTGGTGGGTGACTGTCTCCTGTGGGAGGGACCCCACGCTGAAGGAGAGGAAGATTGTGAGGATTCCTCCCCCTGAGCAGGACAGAGCAGGAGAGGCGACATGTGATGAATTGACCACAACCCCCATGCCCCATCCACTGTGTTGCTGTGGGGGAGGAGGTAGAGAATATTGGGAATGAAATTGAAGCTGCGAAAAAGGGACAAGGTGTTTTAAGATTTGGTCTTATTTCTTATTATCCTACTCTGATTTGATTGGTAACAAATTGATTTTTTTTTTTTACTCCAAGCTGAATCTATTTAACCCATGACCAAAACTGGTGAGTGATCCTCGACCCACGAGCCTCCTATTTTCTCCATCCCACAGCGGGGAGGAGTGAGCAAGCAGCTGAGGGGTGCTGTGTAACTGGCTGGCCCTAACCCATGACAACTACAAACACTGTGTAAGGGTCTGCTTTTGTGAATCTGTAAAATTCAGCCAAGTGCTAAAAAACCCAGGCTGTTCTTTTTAGAACATAAGCAAAGCATGGTAATGACTGGACATCAGAATTGTAAATGTTTTACAAAAGAAAACATTTTATTACTATTTATTTGATGCAATAGACTGCTGCAGATTATCAGGAATTGCCTGGAAAAGAAAATTGGCTAATAAGGTACTGCAGAATTAAGCTCATAACTTGTGAATTATATTCCAAAGTTTTATATTTAGAACAGAAATGTCTGTAAAAATTCTAGTGGAATATTCAGAGTAATAGTTAGATTGCATGGTACGAGTACCTAGTACCTGATAACCTCGTTACCTTTACCTGCAGACTTGCTATCAGAGATTACTATAATCCTTATATGCTGGGCAGAATTCAAGCTGTAATACATCTCTCTAACTTTCAGTGGTCCACAGGTTATTTTCTAATAGGAAGTATTCTGCAATCAGTTTTCTAATGTCACTTTCAGATTTGGAAATGTCTTGTCTATATTCCTGCAGTTTTTTCTTAAGTAACTCATTATCCTCTGGGATGTTTTTTACTGCTGCTGACAACCTCTTGCATTCTTTGTTTACACTGGACAAGTCAAACTTTAAAATATTAGTATCGGCTTTTGCTTTCTGAGTTCAATCGTAAGGTTCTTTTCGGTATAAACTTTTACTGACTGAAGTTCCTCAGAGTCCTTCTGGAGCATCTGCTTAATATCCGAACGTTCCTGCAAAGTGATTTCAAGGTTAAGTTTTTTGGTTTCCAGTGTTTGCGTTAACTGAAGATGAGTTTCCAGTTCAGATTTCTTGGTGGTTTCTTTTATTTGTTGCATTTCTCTCTGAATTCTTTCAAGCTCTTGCTCTAGGGAATTTTTTTCTTTGTTAATCCATGATATTTTTACCTTAAATTTTGTATTTTTTTCTTTTAGCTTGAAGCATTCCTTTTGCAAGAGCTTTAGAATTGCATTGAGCCTCTCTCTTTCAGAAGTTGCAGCAGTCTTCTCTTCCACTTTCTGGTTCCCCATTTGAAAATCACGTTGTGCCTGTGTTGAATGTTGGTTTCCATCACGGAGTTGATTTCTCTCTTTCTCAAGGATTATTTTCTTGTTTTGGAGTTCTTCACATTTTCTGTAGAAGTTCTTTGGTTCCTTAATATACGCCTTGTTATCTTCTTGCGATTTAGCCAACTGAGTTTGCATACTTTTCTTTTTTTCAGCTAAATCCTTAAATTGCATATTGCATTTTGATATTATATCTTTCGAAGACTGTATCGTAACAGTAAGAGGCTCCAATTTGTTCTTGAGAGCTAAATTTTCTTTCAGAAGATCACGTACTGTTTTTTGCAAATGCTCCGAATTTTCCAGGGACTTTGGCAATATGTCACTTTTGCCATCATATTCAGAGTCTGCTTTGATTTCGCTGAACTTCTGACTTCCTGGCCTCAGTAGTGTTTGATTTATAGTCTGTTGCTGTTCTTTTTCTTTTTTTAGTTTTTCTTTGTTATCAGCTGTTAGTAGCTTACCTTTCAGCATCTCAGAAAAAGAATTAACCTGGAATCTGTCACCTTCACTGTAATCGATTCTAAATTCTTTATTTGTGCTTGGAGATGCTGCTTTTTCACTGTATACTGTTGCAGGAGAACCACCCCATACATTGGCACATTCTGAGTCTTTATAAAATTCTTGATTAAAACATAGGCCATTTTTTTTTTAACTGGAACTAAACCAACATGTGATTCCTCTACAGAAGTCACCATTTCTTTTAAGTGATTTACTATTTTTCTAGATGAAAAGCCATTTTTTTCTGTATTATCTGCTAATAAATCCAAATCGCTATGGACTGACTTCTGACATTCTTGCTTCAGCAACTTGGTAGGATAATTAGTATTGTTTACTTTATGAAATTCTTTCCTAAATTTGGGAAAAGGTATATGATGTTTCAGTTCACTCAAAATGACATTCTCATGGGCAGCATTCAACCTTTCTGTCTCCAAATCAGTGCCAGATAGCAAATGTCCACATTTATGTTCATATTTGATTGCAGGTATCCTGGGTATCCTGTTGTTTCCAGTCATATTTTCTGAATTTTCAACCTTTTTGGTTGCTATGGATTTAAGCAAAATCCTATGTGGAATATTTATATCACTGATGAAATTTCCAGTATCAGAATCTGCTTCCACGTGCCCATCTGAACAGGGTTGTTGATCATGATGGACTTTTCTCTTAGAAGGCAGTGATTCAGGATTTTCCATAAGCTACCCACAAAATTAAAAACAAATGTACAAAGAACTGTCATGCTGGAAAAATTGTCAAACATTGCAGTAGTGCAAGCATAACACAACTAAACTGTTACCAAAGACACTTACCAATCAAGACTTGTGCGTTTTGCCTCTGCCAATGTCATGTATCCATTAAAAGAATGTACACCATTATTGTAGGCCCCATTCCATTCAGCACTTGGCTTTGGAGCAGGCACAAAAGTCAGTGTCTTAAATTGATTAAGTATATTTCCAGCAGAGGGGAGATGACTTAAGGAGACTATAGGTTGTCTTTGCTTGCTTTTGTTGTCCCAATCCCTATGAAATAAGGGCAAACTGGAGTTCACGCTAAATGTAGACAGAGAAATTTGGGTTTATGCAGCACTTCATAGTAGAGGGACAAAATTTACTCCTTGTACTCATTTCTCTCTCCTCTTCTCGACTTTGCTCTATCTGCCCATAAGCTTTGCATTGTACTCCATGCCCACTGAAGGCATCAATTAATTTTGGGAAATGAATGAAATTAATTTGGGGAAGATCAGGTGACAGTTTTACCTGTGCAGAAGAAAAACTCAGTTATAATCAAATGAGTGGGAGGGAATAGTGTAAGTAATTAGGGCTAAAGTTCTGCTACCCAGAAAAATCTCAGGGATAAGATATTGCTGTGGTTTTTTGCTTGTTTGCTTTTTATTTCTTTTTACTCTAAAATACCCCTTGCGTTATTTTCTAAAAAACATGTCACACTCAAAACTAAAGGTCCAGCTTGTCTGCAGGTAAAAATCACTAAACATTCCAGAGATGCATCACTCGGTGTGCAAGTCATCAGAATCTTATCTGAACTATATAGTGGAGTTTTCCATTCAAACAGATTTTTGTTTAGTAACTCATGAATTTTAGACCATACCTGAAAAAAAGTTAACAGAAAAATTAAAAGTAGAAATATATAATGAAATTCCTATTACTCAGAAAGTTCTCTCTTAGGAAGGGCAGACCAGATGGAAGTGGCATGGAGGAATACAGAACTGTTTATAACCAAAAAAGTGTAAGGCTAACTGTCCTTCCAGCATCAGCTATTTAGCTTTTATATAAAGAACCAGATCAAATGATGGCAGAAAAATACTCCTGGAAAGGTGACTTAGCATTTTGTGAAACATGGTGGTTTACAACAATAGAACAGGTTCTGCTGACAGTGACATAATGTGGAATTAACTTTTTCAAAAACAACGGACCTTCCTTGAGTTTACAGTGATATAAAGGAGAGAAGGATCTAGTACTTTGCCTTTTTTTTTCCTAATTCAGTTTTGCTTTTCCTTGGCTTTTTTTGAGGTTTTAGAGTAGTTTTTATAAGCCCTCAAAGAATACTGTGACTAAGAGAGTGCAAGAACTTACAAGTAAGGTTATCTATCAGCTATTTTAAGAGGGGCAGATGATTAAACACATGCTTAACATACATGATAGATTTTACTTGAAACACGTACGGCAGTATCTGAAAATTCATCAGAAGGCTTTTGTATTTTAAAAGCATTTGTGTTCTACTTTTACTGTGTTAATATTCTCCAGAGTCTGTTGACGAAATGTCTGAAATGATTCCAGCTGCTGCTGAAGAATCTAAAATGTGTAGACCAAATATCAGAAAATTGGTAAGTAGGGGTTTGTCTGGATTTTTTTTTTTTAAATACTGAGATGAGTTAGGATATTTTCTCAGGTGTATTTATGTTTCTTTTCCAGTCCCAAGATTGTTCTCACCCAGCCTGACTCCACAAGAGTTCACCAAATGCTCCTTTCATCATTCAACAGCCATTTAGAAATGTATTTTCATTATTGGAAGAATTTCAACATCGTTCCTTGCAGACAGTTGCTCACATTACAGGAAGAACTGTCACGTCTGGCATTACTTTGGATCTTTGTCTTTGCAGTTATACAAAATGCACTTCTGTTAGAATTCATACTCTAGTTTCAAAAATTATCTTTCTGGTTTAGAATGTGATGTACTGGTTGGACAACATAAGAAAGTTGGACTGCCTCTGGAATTAGTAAAAGGAAACCCTAGTATTCTGGATTAATAGAAATAATACTGGCTAAGCTCTAATGACTTAGAAATGCTTTAAAATTAATAGTGCAAATTCTTCACACAGATCAAACAATTCTCTGAATGAATCAGTTTTAGGTCACAGGAATTGGGAAGCTCAGTGAAAATCTCAGCTAAAGGAATGAGCATGTGCATAGAGGAAAACTTGTCCAGCTTTCCATGCATTCTGGTTTGGAAGAAAATGACACGAAACACAAAAGGAAGAAAAGAGGCAGTCAGGGAAGTACTGTACATCGTGTACCTGAGTTAGGCAACTATACTGATATTAGAACCAACACCCAAACATACTTTGCTAGTCATTATTCAGGTGGAAATTGTAGTATACAAGTAACGCTGTCAATTTCAGAATAGTTCAGCAAGTCTGATGTCTTACAGAAAACCATCAGTGAAGAATGACAGCTCCTGCTGTATGGTTCCAGCCCAGGTATAGCGAAACCATCAGTCAGTACCTGTGTATTCACAGGAACCACTCTGTGTGTGCTGAGCGGTGAGGAAGAGACCAGCCTCACATTAGTGAACACCGAGAAGTAACTCTTGGCCTGAGCAGCCCCTGACATCAAGGCCCTGTCATCAGTCGCCAGCCTGAGCTAGTGTTGCCGCTGGGCTGAATCACACCATCACAGCGTCGCTTACATTGGAAAAGACCTTTAAGGCCGCCCAGTCCAACCCTCACCTAGCGGTGCCAGGTCCAGCACTAAACCATGGCCCTCAGCCATACCTCTACACATCTTTCACACGCCTCCGGGGATGGTGACTCCACCACTTCCCTGGGAAGCCCATTCCAGTGCTTGACAACCCTTTCGGTGAAGAAATTTTTACCGATATGCATTCTAAACTTGCCCTGGCACAACGTGAGGACGTTTCGGAAGTCTGGCTCAGGCCAGTTTTGTCAGCCGGCGGTGTGTAAGCGCGCCCACTTCCCTAAGCGAGGGCACCGCACGGGAAGTTCCACTGGCCAAGGCTCTTCATGCCCGGTCACCC